AACTCATGGCACTTATGGTCCTAGATGGTAAGCTTTCAAAATTCAAGCGACAGAATAGTTAGAGAAACATGGGGAAAAACCTAAATCAGAATTTTGTGAAAAGCCACTAACTGTAATGATGGTATTAGAGAGGTTTGCTGAGATTGTACTGAATTTGCTTATTGTACGGTTTATGAATGGACTCAGTGTATGCTTGTGTGAATTTTTGTTTTTCATTTTTTGTGGCTACCCTAACAAAACAACAATGGACAGATATCTACAAATTGAGAATACAGACTGCAGAACAATAGAAACAATGAAGTTTTTTGCAGGGTGACACGGACCGTTCTGGTGGCGGTGGCGGAATTTCTTAACATGCTGTCTGGCGGCTCAGGCTGGCGTGGCAAGGATGCAGCACCCTGCAGTTACGCCTTATAGGCGGCAGATGGCAGCAGAGAGGCTTTTCAGTCACTGCAGGTTCTACAAACCAACCACTAGCCTCAGGTCTTTTCTTGGAAAATCCTGACATCTTTCATGATGCAGTTTCATTAAGTTGTTCCTGAAGAACCCTAAAAGAAACTATTTCATGCCCTGGACGCCGTTGGTAGGCTTTGGTGTGCCTGGCACATCTCGCTTGCCACATACCATACCGTTGTTTAAAGTAACCACCTTATCTGCACGTGCTGTCTGCATTGTGACCTCTTTCAAAATCATGTTTGTGCTGATCAAAAGCCTAGAATCATGCTCTGCACATGTGAAGATCTCAACAAATGTGTTTTTAAAATGGTTAATGAAATAACATTTCAAATGAAATTTTTCCAAAATACTTGACAAAGTCTGCCATAATATTCTATTAAGATGGAAACTTGTGACCTAGGTGTGGCTAAGTACATTTACCTTAAAACTCAAAGCTTGAATCATGTTGGTAAATGAACTAATATTAAACTGGAAGGAAATCTTTGGAAGCATTCCACAGTCAACATTTTTATTGGTTTAAATGACCATGGAGAAAGCACGTTCATTAAATGACATAAAGTTGAAAGGAATTGCTAAAACACTGAAGACAGGGTTCAAAAAGATCTGGATGGGCCAGAAGGATGAGCCAAAACCAATAAAATAAAATGTAACAGGGAAAACATACAGCCCTGAATTTAGGTTAGAAAAACAGGAGATAGGAGGGGAAGTCTGGGTAAAAAATCAGAAAAATGTAATTGTCTCATAACTTCATTCTATGGAATACTGTATATTGTTAAAGAAAAATGACCTGGAAAGATTTCCAAGGCATATTATTAAATGAGAAACTATAAAAGAATGACATAAAAATGCAAATTAAAATGGTTATGTATGTTTGCGTGTATATGTATATAAGTATGTGCAATTACATGGGAAAAGATTGGATGATGTTAATACCGATACTTCAGGGCAGGAAAGTGAAATGAGGCTTTCACCTTTTTTTGAAGATTAAAAGTAATTTTATTTCTAGACGTAGAAATAGTAATATATTTTATGATCATCTTTATTATACACATATATGAGAGGCAATTTTTTTTTCTAATTTTAAGTAAATTTATTTCAGGTTAATGTGAGGGTACAAGCAACCAGGTCAAGAGCCTTTCACTTTCGACTTTGTATACTTCTGCATTACTTAATTTTTAATGAAACTGTATCCCTATCTTAATTCTATAATGACACAAATCACATTGGTTACCTTTTCATTTTTTTCAGGGATGTTAAGTGAAAATGAGACCAATGAGCAATACTGTGGTGTCCAGAATAGTGAGCCAGTGACTGGACCTAGCACCCATCTTTTCTAGGAGGACATTCATAGACTAAAGAGTATATCTCTTGCCTTGAGCAGGAGACTTCTGGCACAGCTGTCACTGCCTGACAGTCAGAGAGAGCCTTTTATTCTTTCTTAGGGAAACTTAAAGCAGCTTGCACTTAGTAGGGTAATACACAGTAGTTGTAATACTGAATGAGTGAATGAATGACCAGTTGGGGAATGTGGGCCTGCATAGCTGGAGAATGAAGCCTGGGTTGAACTCAGATCTGTTCTCAGTTATTTGAAGCATTCTCCAGTGGAAAATGGATGCACTTTGGGTCCACTAGAGGGCAGGACATATGCTGCAGGGCAGGTGCTGTCATCCAGTACTCCATGGGGAGGCGTCTTGCCATCATAGACCCTCACTGAGGCCTCACAGTGCCCTAGACACTCCCTTCTTTGGCCTCATCTCCTCCATGGCCCTTGGCATCCTGGCCTTTCTCTGCCACTGGGATACTTCCCTAAGAAATTTGTGGGCCAGCTGCCCCATTTCTTTAGGGCTCTCTGCAGTGAAGCCTTTCCTGGCCAGTTCAAGTTAAACAGCAGTTTCCTGTGCCGGGCATTTTCTGTCCCCCTTAAGTTCCCTCACTTTCCTCCCCTGCACTTCCCTGCAGCAAACAGCACCCAGGGGATTTGTTGTCCATCCGGCCTCCCTTGACGGGAAGGCTGAGACTTAGTTCTCTTCACAGCCACAGCCCCGGCCTTACAGTTCCTGGCACTCAGTTGGTGCTCAATAAATATCAGAAGACGTGACTCCTTGGAGACGTGCAGGAATGTGGTGGGTGTTGGGGGTCCCTTCAGCAAGGGTTACCACTTCAGAATTAACTTGTGTCTGAGAAATTCGAGAAGTGCAGGCCACATCCTTCGCATGGTAGGACATGCTGCTGTTTTCTCCCCATCCCTTCATGAGGATACCACTCTCTACTGCCCACTGCTTCAGCACTGTGTGTGGCTGGACGAGGGGTTTGGTGATGTGTGGCCAGGATAGTCCTGAGACTCTGACCAGATGAGCCAGTAACCCTCTTTGTTAGATTGTTGATTTTTTTTTTTTTTTTTTTGAGACAGAGCCTCAAGCTGTCCCCCCTGGGTAGAGTGCCGTGGCATTACAGATCACAGCGACCTCCAACTCCTGGGCTCAAGCGAGTCTCCTGCCTCCGCCTCCCAAGTAGCTGGGACCACAGGCGCCCGCCACAATGCCCGGCTATTTTTTGGTTGCAGCCGTCATTGTTGTTTGGCGGGTCCGGGCTGGGGATTCGAACCCGCCACCTTAGGTGTACGTGGCTGGCGCCTCAGCCGGTTGAGCTATAGGCGCCGAGCCAGATTGTTGATTTTTTAAAAAATACAGAGTAGTATGTATACCTGTCACCACCTTTTATATATATATTTTTTTCTGTTATACACTGGGACCTCCACACCTGACCTCTTCCCTATTCTTATCTAAACCTCCTTAATTTGACCTACTTCTCACAGACTGGACATATACCCCATGTACCTATCAGTACAGCTGGCCTAGTTCTGTATGTTGACCAGTTTGTCGCAGACTCTTGGGTGGTCACCTTACAGGTCACCTTGCACCTTCTACTGCACTTGCCCTCAGCATCCCTCCCCCAGCTTCTGTGGCTACTCTCCCCTGCCTTGATGTCACACTCATTTCAGGCTTTGTATAAATGTGCGTTTTCTCCAGCTTCCAGTTTATCCAAAACATCACCTATTAGCTTTCTGGCTCGGGATTCACCCAGTGGAAAACAGAAGCTAATTGTATTTTACCTAGTGCTTTCCTGTGTGAGGAGTTTAACATGAAATATCTTGTTTGATTGCCGCTAAGCTTGGGGAGTGTTCAAGGGGATGCTGAAGTCAGGAAGATGAGTAAGCCCTGCTCCCCCACCTGGCCCTCCCAGAGTTTACCAGCTGCCCTTTATCCGATCACATGATCAGAGGCCTGAAAGAGGCACTCAGCCCCTGGAGAACACTCCAGTGATCCCCCAGGGGACCTGACCCACTCCTCTCCCCATCTTCTGACCTGTCTCATCTGCTGAAGACCTGTTTGAGACCCGTTTCTTAGTTTGTTATCGACTCTCAGTGCAGGCACAACTGAGTGGAAGGCCCCTATCCAGGGCTTTTTCTGCCTGCACAAATTGCAAACTGATGCTTTGAGAGGTGTATTCAGGGTAATCATTTTCAGAGTTCAAGCTCTAATTCTCAGGCATGTGGCCAGACCTCTCTGTCCATTCTTAAAAGTGGTTGGTAGTAGCAGCCTGTAATTATTTTGGCCCAGTCTTTTAATGCCTTGAGAGTAATGATCTTCACAGCTTATAGGAGTGAATATATCTATTTTAGAAGTTGTGTGTTGTCTTAACAGACCGAATGCAGAGCACCTGGAAAGTTAGGTCAGGAGTATTGTCCCTTTTCTATTTCCTGGGTGAAAGTGAGTTTTTTTTCTTTTAATTTCCATTGAAAAAGTATGTGGTTCTCCATAAAAACATGTGTAATTATTGATGTGTAAAATGCTTTGAAGCTTTTTATAGAAAGCTTATAACTTGGGGGGACAGACCTGTTGGTGGCTGTCTCAGGGAGGGTTGCGTGAGGGCTAGGCTGGCCTGTGGGACCCATGAGACAGGCTGCTTGGTGGGCTTACTTCCCACTGTCATGGGCACTGAGTAATAACACCAGCTTTTGTTACACACAAACAGACGTTAAGAGTTTCTCATACCTTGGACATTCTTTGCTGTGGATAACATTTCAAGGTGTCAGCTTCTGTGATTCACTCAGGAGCCAAACTGGTCATATCAGCCCAACTCAGCATTCCCCCAACTGCATTTCCAGTCTCTGAGACCTGCTCTTTTTAGGTCAATAGACCTGTTAGAAGTGAGTGTGGAATTGGCTGGGCTGATATCTTCCTTCCTTCCTTCCCTGCCAATCTTTCTGATGACAGAGACTTTTCTGTAACTGGGGCAGAAGAATCCCATAAGGATGGACAGCAACCCTGATAACTTACCAGGGTGTTATGAAATGTAAAATATTTATGTACTTACACAAAAATGGCTGTAGATGAAATTAAAATTTGCTATTCTATTAAAACTATAGTGGATTTTAAAAATTATTATATGAATTACTCACATTTTCATATTTTAAATGACATTTGAGACATTACAAAATTATTTTCGTTACAAGTGTGTAATTAAAGCTATTGTTTATTATTACAAAATGTTTTTACAATACTGTTCTTGGGAACAGGAAAATGCTTATCCTCATTTAGTACCATGTTTTGGAAACCATGTTGAGCATAATAGTAATATTTGGGTTTAATTTGTCCTATAGAATGTCTAAATATCTAAAGCCTAGTTTCTGTTCTTTTCAAATGTCTATTAGTTATAGTTTTACTTAAAAACAATTGGATGCTGAAGACAGAAGCAAACAAACTTTTGAAGTAGATGAAACTCATTTTTAACTAGAAAAATTTAGAGTCTGGTCTTTCCATCTGTCCTTTAACAACAGCAATCCCTCCCTCCTCCCGCCCCATTTGGTCTGCGCCATTAAATGGTACTGTGCCAATAAAATCCCCAGGCAGCCTCTTAAATCAGCATTCCTTCTGATGCCGGCTACCATTTACCACAGTAATGGAAAAGGCAAAGATGTCAAGCCAACCTGTCATTACAGGTAGTAGCTGGTGGCACATGTAGTCTGTATTTCTTAAATAACATTATACCTAAAATTTTGAAACATCCCACAATTAACGTGATAGAGAGCCTCTCGGTTGCACAGCAAATTATCTATAACCGAAAGGCCATATTTGAAATTAAATCACGGTGTCTAATTATACACCATTCAGATAATCACAATCTGAGCCTCTGAATTAGGAGAAACAAACAATCATATCCAAAACAGCTTTAGACCAAAGGAACTTATCTTATTTCAAAGTTTTCACTTAAAAAAAAGTATATAGAGTTTGAAGCACAGGTAACTTTGTCCATTGTTTGAGATTAAAACTTCCAAAGCAGGTAAAAGGACTAAGATTCTCTATGTTTACCTTTAATTTGGGGGAAAATTGGCAAAGGAAACTGTAAGAGGGACACCCAAACCTGTTTGGTATCCCTTTTAGAACCCAGCCTTTCTCTCTCGTCCCCAGAGAAAGAGGATATCCTTTGCTGATATCCTTCCTTTCAAATATGAAAGAACCTGACATCAGTGACCCCTATGGCATAGGGTCTCATTGGAACTAACTTTAGTAAAAATTAATACAGGTATAGAATCAGTCCTTTACTTTGAAGTTTTGGAGAGTAGACCTCTGCTGAGGTACCTGGAGTTTCACTGTGAGGCCTGCAGGGATTCAAATGGTTATGTTATGATCAGAACCTTTGTCTTGGGAAATGCTGGTGACTGAGCCTTGACAGCTAAGCATAGGAGGCCTCATCCTTTTCCTGCTGTCTATTTTTTATCTAACAGCTGTACAATGTGTTAAACTGGCTTTCTGGACTTTCCAGAACAATATCTAATTAGCAAATAACACAATTCAGTGACATTCAGCAGTATGCAAATTCCAGACACGGCAATCATGAACACCGTGAAAACAGTCTTCTCTGTGGGCCGGGAGACAAAGCAGTCCACTGTGTTGGGACAAGGCCAGGCATTACATTTCACCAGACGCTGCATGGAGAAGCCATCATACATGATGTAGAAGACGTACATGAAGACGGCTTCAAAGACGACTCGGAAGAAGATGCTGCTGGTGTAGGTCCACCACAGGGACCCTTCGATGCGGACCTTCTGGCTTTTGATCTCTTCGATGTCCTTAAATTCAGTCTTAATCTCCCCCTTGATGAACTTCCTTTTCTTCTCATGTCTCCGGTAGGCCACATGCATGGCCACCAGGAGCGCTGGTGTGGACACGAAGATCAGCTGCAGAGCCCACAGTCGGATGTGGGAGATGGGGAAGTAGTGGTCGTAGCATACGTTTTTGCAGCCAGGCTGGAGGGTGTTGCAGGTGAAATCAGCTTGCTCGTCTCCCCACACCTCCTTTGCGGCCACGACCAGGATCATAATGCGAAAAATGAAGAGGACAGTGAGCCAGATTTTCCCAATGCTGGTGGAGTGTTTATTGACACCTCCCAGGATAGTGTGCAGGGTGCTCCAATCCATCTTCTCCCCTGGGCACTTTGCACTGGAAAAGCAAGTGAACACAACACAGGAATCACTAGTCAGCACGAACCTGGGAGATCACTCCAGGTCTGGGTTTAGGTAAGCACTCTCAAATCTCTGCCTGAGCAAACACAACTCTTACGCAACCACACCAAAGGGCGAGGACAAAACTAGCTTAATTTGTCATAGGATTAAATGTATAGTTTCCAAACCATTCTGAACATGTTTTTATGTGTTCTTTAATCAAGGCTAGCTTGTTCATCTGAGTAATTCACCCAACCTTTTAACATATAATACAAACTTGTGAGCACTGAGCAAAATGCTTCTTTGCTTAAAAGCACCAATAAGTTCTGACCAGACCCATAGAATCCTCTGTGGTTCATCCTTGGGTTTTCCTGATGCCCAACAAATTACTCAGTGGTCAACATGGGGCTCTGCTTGTAGCCCCAAGTTCTGCCCTGTACACTGAGGCTGACACATGGGCCAGCCTTGCCTTAATGGCTGAGAGGCCAAGTAAAGGTGACTCTTGAGGTTAAAATGTAATTTACAGGAGCCTACCTAATCCAATGCTGTCACAAGTCTCACTGAAGAGTCACTTTCCTTAAAATATTTCAATTAATTTTCACAGACCTGGCATGTAGCAATGAAATGGTTGTAACCAAAGGTTAGGTTTACATTTGAGGTGTTCCAAGGTGCAAATTTCACAAAGGCTCTTGCTTTCTTTTTCTATATGAAAGGAGCAAGGTAGGAATGGTCTCTTCATGGAGAAAGGCTGCCGTGTGCATGGGCTTTCATGTAGGTTTTGGGTAGGAGCTGGTGGCCCTGCTGTCACACTGGGATAAACTGCTCAGTTAGGACTCAGAGATATCTGTTTTGAGTTGCAACTGTACATATTTATTGTGGGCTTGGTTTCAATTTAAGAATGTTTGTGAAGTAATGCATCGTGAAAAATGGCAGAAACTTCAACTCAGTGATTCCCAGTTATTGGCCCAACGAAGTGCTGACACTGCATTGCAGTTCAGCACTTGAGCTGGCTGGGGTCAGGTACTCCTTGCTGAAAGTGGATGATCATCACTGCAAGATGTGAACTGTCTCCACTGATTCATAGTTACACCCATCTGTCACAATCATTCCCTCTTCTAGATGAGATTCTATCCTCTCCACATCCGGGTGAATCATCTGTTTTCTACCCTAAGCTGGTAGTGAATCCTCTTTCTTCAAAGCATCCTCCTCTCCTCATTTTAGGCAAGTTGCATCCTGTTTCCTGATGGACTCCCAAAGCAAGCTTGGGATGAATATCTCTTATTACTTGAGGTTCTGCTATGGGGCACCAAGGTCAGGCTGAAACCACCCAATGCCAGAGGAGGTGGGAGAGACACAAGCATGAAAGCTACATCAGATTGAAATATACTCCTGACGCATTTAGCCATATTCACCTTGAAAAAGGGAAACATCATTGGACAAAACAGTGGTTTAGTCCAGGTTCAGCATGATCCATTTCAATCTGGCCTGTCAGGGGACCAGGATGTCTTGCCAGAAGTCCCACAGCTTAGATTTGTTCTGTCCCAATAGCAAAACCACTGAGAGCTATATTAAGATTTTTATAAAGCCATCTTGTGGAATTAGACACCCTAGGTCTTCACCAGCACTAAATGGAAAACAGGACACTTGCTGAAATCAGTGCTCCCTGGCTTAGGTCATTACACCTGGCCACAGGTATGCGGGTGGGGGTGGGGCTCACGCCTCTGCCTCTCCCACAGTGCCACAGACCCTCCAGCCTTCTCTAGGCAGTCACCAAGTTACAATCCTCCGACTTAGCTACAATCCGCACTTACGAACAGAGGCTATTACAGGTAGGTAAATACACCTGTTCCAACTCACGTACAAATTCAATTTAAGAACAAATCTATAGAACTTATTTTTTTGGTAACACGGAGACTGCCTGTATAGACAGTTACCATCAACTGAGAAAAATACAATTCCAAGTAAACTCTGTATCTGATGTTTTTAAAAGCTCGAGCGGCAGCTACCCATTTTAAAGGCCCTTTCAGGAGAGGACCAAATTTGACTCCTCAGTGGGACAGGAGTAAGAGGACCAGGCAAGCAGGATGACATTGTTCTCAGCATTCGCACCGTTCCTACCCCCAGGAACTCTCTGCTGGCCTTCCGACCCTGCCGGTCATACGCAGGTCCCCAGCTGGCCGGTGCCACCCCGCACTGTTTGGAGCACTGCCAGAGGCAGGCTGAGGAGCTGGTTCAGGCTGGGAAGGCGCCAGGTGAACCACCCGTTCCAAAAAAGGCAAAAGGAGATCTTTACCCGCTAACTTCTCTACCCTTAGGCGGCCGGTGGTCGACTAGCTCCCCCATCTCCTCCTGGGGGTCCATAAGCGCGACTGGCTTAGCACAGTAGTTTCCGAAAGGGACTCAAAGGGCGAATGGGGACAGGCTGTCCCACACATCCCAAGACAGTCCCAGGTAAATGGCCACAGTGTCTGGCTCTCAAAAAGCCAGACCACAAGCATGGTTTGCGGTCTCCGTCCAGTGCCCCCCTCCAGTGCAGGCAGACGAAAAGGCTGATGCAACCGTCCTGAAGGACACGTTTCTCAGCCGCACAAGGGTCCTGCGAGCTTCCCCTCCAGCTGGAAGACACTGCCTGAGACAGCGCTCTTCCAGAGTTGACAAAGAAAAGCCTGGGCTGGGAGGAGCTGCGTTCCCCAGGAGCTCCGGGCACTCGGCGCCCGCCCTCCGCAAGCGCCTTCTCTGCGGCAGTGGCGCGGGAGGCAAAGGTCGGTCTCCTCCAGTGGAGGCTTCCGGCTTAACCACGAGACTGTGTTTTCACTCTGAGCGAACTTTTCGGTCACTTGGACTGTGTGGAGCCTGCAGATGAGTAGCCAGGCTGCTGTGCGGGACGTCCCCCGAAGGCCTTTTGCTTATGGCTACACAATCGCGCCGCGGCCGCCCTCGTCCCGCTTCCTTTTCCCCCAGCGCGGCGCGCGGACTGGGTCCAGCTCCCGGCTGTGCCACCGCGTCCCTGTCCCCAGTGCGCTGCTGCGAATCCCGCCCGAGCGGCCCGATTGCAATTCCCGAGTTCGCTCTGGCCACCTGCTCCCGCCCCAGGGACAGCGTGGGACCTCGGTGCGCCTGCGTCTAGCCTCTGAGAACGCCCTGCAGACCAGGTTCGCCAGGGACCACCGGCCGGGCACCCTCACCGGCTCCTATGGCCTCCAGCTGTCTGGGTCCCTTCCCACGCCAACTCTCCTAGTCTTGGCTGTCCCGGGGCTCTGGGCGCTGGGCGCGGCCGGGTGGACTCACCTGTGTTAGGACCAAGGAGCGGCGGAGCGGGCGGCGATGTAGCTGCGCGGTAGTGGCCGGGCCTGGGCCGGGCGGCCTCAGCTCTCGCTGCGGGCCGAGGCGCCGCCGACTGGCTAGAAGTCGGGAGAGCTGAGCGTGCCGAGCGCTGCGGGTTCTTGACACCTGTCTCCGGTGGCTGCGCCTTTTAACCGCGCGCCACACCCCGCCTCTTCCCGGGAGCTACTCGGACAGTTACGGAGGGGGCGGCTCCCAGTGGCCCCGCCACCCCCAGCGCTGCGGGCGGGGCTCTCCCAGCCTTCCAGGTTCTCAGAACTTCCCCGGCCTTGGGAACCTGGAGCGACACCAGCCCCCCGCCAAGGCCTCTGAGACCCCCAACGCCCCAGACCCCCTCGAGTCCCTCGGTGGTCCTGGGCGAGCTGGGAGAGGCAGAGCGTCTCAACTCGAGGAGGATTCCGATCCCCGGCTTCAGCACCCTGCGTCTTGGAGAGTGGCTGGGGTTAAAGGATAGTCGCAGGTTTTGCTGTCTCGACCGAGTTAGGCAGTAGTGCACTGAGAGTTCTGCTTTTATTTATTTATTTATTTTGTTCATCCGGCGATGTGAAGATTGCTGCTGCCTCGGAGGCGTAGTGGCGGCGAGCGTGTCGCTGCGGAGCGCCGGGTGCGGGGCGCGGGACGAGGGTGCCGCTCCCTCTGGAATTTGGGCGAGGAAGTCCCAGCTTCTTTCTACCCTCTAAACTTCACTAGCCAACGCGACAAGCCCCTCCTCGGATTTCCAATCTGATTCTACCACTTTCAGCAACTTGCCCAGGGCTACGGTGGGGGTGGGGGAGAGGTCCGGCTTTTGCGGAGGCTGGTGGCGGCGTCTCCGCCCGCCCTGGACGGCGCGGCCGAGGTCTGCAGAGGGGAGGGCGCCTCCGGCCGTCAGTCTGCTTCTTCGTGTTTGCACAACTGGGGTACTGCGAGGAGGTTATTCAGTTTTGGGGTTGGGGAGGTGGAGGCCTAGATTCTTCAGAAAGGAAAGCACAGTGAAGTTTGCGACCCCTCCTCCTGGTGCGCACGCCGCACAGCGGGAAAGGAGACATTGAGGGGACTTCTGGGAAGACGGCGGGTGGCAAGTTCCACGCAGCTCAGTTCTTTCTCAGAGAAGCTTGATCTCGGGTTATGGGAGGCTCAGTATTTACTTTGGGTAGGATATTTAGATGTCTTGAGATACAAGTAACAGAACGTGGATATGCACAGAGCAAGTGGATGAGGAATTAAAATATCAAGAGCCAGCAGCGTTTGGAGACAGAGTGTTCGGCCTGGGTGGCTGCCCTCCGGCGCTGGCACCTGCTTGCTTGGGGAGCCCTGCATAGAGGAGCTAGTGCGGGGGGCTGCAGCTGCTCGCTGTCACCCTCAGGATTTACTCAGGTCAGTTTTACTATAAGTGAAGATAATGACTCATCCCAAACGACAGATCTGGCCTCAGAGATGGATTTCCCATGATTGCCTCCTCTAGCGTGAAGGCACTGGCTTTTCCTGGTAAAACTGGCTCCCCATCCCCAGGGCCGCCGACCGAGGCTGTCCCTGTGTAGGCAACGTGAGCTTTGTCTCGTGGCTACCTCTCCACCTTCGAGCTCTGAGTCTTAGTCCGACAGGGAGTGTCTGCTCCATGAAAAGACAATGGCCCACGGTCTGCCAGGAGCCCTGAGTGACCCATGGAAGAGGTGCTGAGTTGGCAGGTTACAGACTGCGCAACTACCTCAGCTGGGGCAGAGGTGACTGGGGGTGGGGGCTGCCGGCGGGCTCTTTTGGTTTCTAAGCGGAGTCTGTGGGAGTCCCTGCTTGGGTTGGAATAGTAGGAAGCGGACAGGTAAAGACGGTTAGGAGATTGAAAGTTGACTCACTCTCCCCCATTGAAAAATTTCACCTTAGGTTTTAATGCCTGTATCTCAACTTTCTTTTTCTCATTTTCCCTGACTTGGGTCTCCCAGTTTGCATAATTATCATGTGCTGTCGGCTAATGGTGTTATCACAGCCATTCTATATCTTCAGGATTTAAAGTTAAAACTCCTACAGCTCTTAAGTCTTCACTCAAAATTCAGCGTTTGATTTTATGCTCCTTTGTGTGATAGCTGCCCTTTTTTCCATGTGTTGATGTTTTCTTCCCAGATTGGGGGTTCCTCTGGGACAATTTTTTATTATAAGAGTTTATTAATTGGAGGCAGTTTTAGTTGACTTTTTGGCTATAGTTGTCATTGTTTGGGAGGCGCAGGCTGGATTCAAACCTACCAGCTCTGGTGTATGTATGTGGCTGGCGCCTTAGCTGCTTGAGCTACAGGCACCGCCAACAATTTTTATACATGTATTTTTTGTATCCTTCAGAGTAGACAGAGGAGGAGAATGAGGAGAGGTCGGGGGAGGAAAGGGTTGGAGAAGTTTGAATAGTTGGAGTTACTTACAGAGGGGCTTAGATGTAAATTTAATTAGCTGATCACAGCACATATTTTTAACTTAATTTTTTTCTTTAATTAAAAAGTAAACCCTATAATTATTTTGTAAACAACACAGTCATAGTGCTGCATTTTTTTCTATTAAAAGCAATAGTTTTAACAGAAATGTAAACGTTGGAAATAAAGCATGATTTTCTCATCCAGCTTTCTCTAGCCTTCTTCTTGTGACATGCCAGCCTCCAGAGAAGCTCAGCCCCAACCTGCACCCCAGCTGACCCAGCTGCACAGTGAGCACAGAGCAGGAGTTCAGGACATCCCAGGTGCCTGACTGGGACACCATTGTCTCACTAACCTGTGGGGACTGACTTGAGAATAGGTTTTGACTTGGGTCAGTAAAAAAATAACCCTCTGGCACCTACCAGGTTGCTCTTGAATGAAGAGTGGGCACTTATCAGGTAGCTATTGATGATTAACTGATGAGGGCCTGTGAGAGACACACCCAGTCACTTCCAGTGTCAGAGCTATGTATGAGTAATATTTATCACCTATGCTTAGTACCAAGGAGGTAAATTCCAGGTGATTACAACTGAGCTAGACTTTTATGTAAACATTGAAGGTGATGCACTCCTAAGATAAGGTGAGCATGCTAATGTTTCAAGCTATGTGACATTTTGATTTTGACAGTTGTTTTAGAAATAAGCCAAAACAAAAGAAATTGCCTTTGTGCAAGAAATCAATGGGAGACTAATCATGCTTCTTAATGTTTACTGCTTGCCTCTTCAATTCCCACTGGGAAGGATGCTCTTAATGTGTATTAAAAATGTTTCAGTTAAATTTCAGACTCACAAACCATACGTTAGTGATGGCAGAAAATGTTGCAAGATGAGAAGAGACTTGTAAGAGAATGGAGCTCCTGTCCTACCGGTTGACAATTTTAGGGCAAGTCAGAGCCATTGAATGTCTCTTCAGGAGCCATTAGCTATTGACCACACCCCTTTCTTTGACTTTGCCGTTGAAATATTAACCATACTATGAACTGGCAAAAAAGAAAGAGACAACTTGGCCACCCTCAAAATAGTACTTGGCAACTGAAGCACCCCTCCCCTCATCTTTGACTAATTAATAATAACTTACATGTGACACTGTAATTTGAATGCAGGAGTGGACTCTCTGGAATCCTTTGTGGGTAAATATTACAGTGAACACCATTTCACTAAGTTTCTCTCTGTATCATTAAATCACAACCTTATTTATGTTTTCTGAAAATTAATGTCAAATCATTTAGTAGAAAAATTAAGTTGTTACATTCAAAGTGTGGGAAAGAAAAAGATGTCAGCCTTCAATAAGTTCATTGTTTTTCTTCACTTAGACATTCCTAAAGATTCCAATTTTTTTAACTTATGACTGAAAGTGTTATTGACTTTTAAGTTTTCCTCATTCTATTTTTATTTTCACACACATAATATTTCGAGGAAATTCAAATTGCTCACTGTGTCTCAAGGCAGAAGTAAAATCAGTCAGCCAATATCCTTGGCTTGTCAATAGTCCATGAAGGTCTTTTATGTTTATTTAAGCAGACTATGGAGAAATTACAAAGATATTTCCACATGCATTTGTTTCAAAAACACATTTTGGTCAGAAATTCAGAGTAATTTACTGGTACCATACATATTTACTGGTAAAAAATCTTTTACTCCATTGAATATAAAAAGTAAATTCTGTAAGTTATAGTGGCTTGTCAAAGTGGGAATTCCATGTCATTCCCAAAAGCAGAAGTGATTTCTACATTCTAGTTCCCATTACAACAATATTGTGTTATCTATCATCTTGAGGGGCTTTTGGAACAAGTTAGGATAGAGTTAACGCTCATGTGATGAGCTGCTGTAGTAAAAAAATTACAGACGTTATAGAATTGACAAAGGGCTATAGAGCAATGACTGCCTGGCTGTGTTGCATTGGATAGATTACTGCAGCTTTGTAGCTTTTTATGAAGTACTAGTTGAGAATATCTCAAATTTAAAATTTTCATTTTCTAGAAATCTCTTATTGCATGGTCATTTTTAGCTCCAGGTTCCCATCATTGGGGTATTCTGTAGCTTGTAAAGCCCCTCTTTGGGGATTGGATATGAAGTGCTTGGCTTTAGAATTCAGAATTGGGCTAATGTGTTAGATACTCATTTAAACTGTTCCTTAAATCACTTCCAATTTGCGGAAAGAAGTTTTCGGTGTTCTCTTATTTAATCTCCTTTAAAAATAAAATTTCTGCCTCGGGGAAAAAAAAAAAGGCACTTACAATACCCAGAGTTCACAGTAGATGGCACTAAAGAGACTGGACGGGAAGCTGTGTGCAGCATGCCCACAGGCTATGTGGAAAAACAAAAAACAAAAAACAAACAAACAAACAAAAAAACGGCCCTGACCTCAATCGTGGGCTGAGAAATAAATGTCTTTTTATGAATTGGAATGGATTAGAAAAGAGAATATCAGAATTCCTTGCCCTTAGCAAGTATAAGTAATGCGTCAGGACACGATTGTTTTGCGTGTGTGCTTTCATATCCTTGAGCATCCTGGACCCAATGTAAGGGGCGCTCCTTGCTCTAGGGGCCTCTCACAGAAGAGACGGAAAGTGACTGTTCTATTCCGTTTCCAGCGTAACAAAACAGACACAGACTCTGGGTGAAATGGTGCTCCTAAGAAGTGAGACACCTCCCAGCCTCTGCTGTGCTTGAATCTCACAGCC